TTAATTTTTTTTGAAAAAGCTCCAGATTGATTTCCAAAATGGTTGTACAAGTTTGCATTCCCACCAGCAATGGAGGAGGGTTCCCCTTTCCCCACATCTTTTTCAGCATCTCTTCAGTTTTTGATCTTAGCCATTCTGATGGGTGTAAGGTGAAATTTCAGGGTCATTTTGATTTGCTTCTACCTGATGACTAAAGATGTTTAGCATGTCTATAAGTGTGGGTCTTCTATTCAGCTCTATTGTTGTTATGTTTTTATGCAAGTACCATGCAGTTATTATTATTATTGCTTTATAGTACAGCTTGAGATCAGGGATGGCGATACCTCCAGATAATCTGGTGTTGTACAGGATAGTTATGGCAATTCTGTTTTGTTTTTGTTTTTCCATATGAAGTTGAAAACTGTTCTTTCAAGGTCTGTAAAGAATTGTGTAGGTATTCTGATAGGAACTGCATTGAATCTGTAGATTGCTTTAGGGAGATGGCCATTTTCACTATGTTAATCCTAAGGATCCATGAGCATGGGAGATGTTTCCATCTTCTGATATCTACTTCAATTTCTTTCTTCAGAGACTTGAAGTTCTTTGCATTCAGGTCTTTCACTTGCTTGGTTAGAGTCACACCAAGGTACTTCGTGTTATTAGTGTCTATTGTGAAGGGTGTAGTTTCTCTAATTTCTTTTTTTAGCCCTTTTATTTTTCATATACAGGAGGGTTACTGATTTTTTTTTTAGTTAATGTTGTATCCAGCCAATTTACTGAAGGTGTTTATCAGCTGAGGGGTTCTCTTGTTGAAAAATTGGGGTCACTCGTGTAATATCATATTGTCTGCAAATAGTGATACTTTGATTTCTTCCTTTCTGATTTGTATCCTCTTGATCTCCTTTAGTTGTCTGATTGCTCTACCTAGGATTTCAAGCACTATGTTGAAGAGATACAGAGAGAATGGACCCCTTGCTTTGTCCCTATTTTCAATGAGATTGATTTAAGTTTCTCTCCATTGAGTTTGATATTGGCTATAGGCCTACTGTATATTGACTTTACTATGTTTAGGTATGTGGTTGTATCCCTGATCTATCTGAGACACTAAACATGAATGGGTGTTGGATTTTGTCAAATGATTTTTTGACATCTTAGGAAATGATCCTGTGGTATTTCTCCTTCAGTTTGTTTATATGGTGTATTACATTGATAGATAGCCATATTTTGAACCACGGCTGCGTGCCTGGGATGAAGCCTACTTGGTCATGGTGGATGATATCTTCTATGTGTTCTTCAATTTGGTTTGCAAGTATTTTATTGAGTATTTTTTGCATCAATGGTCATAAGAGAGACAGGTCTGAGGTTCTCATTTTTGGTTGGGTCTTTTTGAGATTTAGGCATCATGGTGACTGTGGCTTCATAGAATGAGTTTGGTAATGTTCTTTCTGTTTCTATTTTGTGGTATAGGTTGAAGAGAATTGGAGTTAGCTCTCCCTTGAAGGTCTGGTAGGATCTGGCCCTGGGCTTTTTGTGGAAGAGAGAATTTTGATGACTGCTTCTATTACCTTAGGGATATAGGAATGTTTAATTTATTTACCCGAACTTGATTCAATTTTTGAAAATGGAATCAATCAAGAAAATTGTCCGTTTCATTTGGATTTTCCAATTTTTGGCATATTGGTTTTTGTAGTAAAACCTAGTGATTGTTTGGATTTCTTCAGTGTCTGTTGTTATGTACCCCTTTTGGTTTCTGATTTTATTGATTTGGATAGTGTTTCTCTGCCTTTTAGCTTGTTTTGCTAAGAGTTTGTCTATCTTGTTGATTTTCTCAAAGAACCAGCTCTTAATCTCACTGATTCCATGAATTGTTTTCTTAATTTCTACCTCATTTATTTCAGCTCTGAGTTTGATTATATACAGCTATCTTCTCCTCTTGGGTGTGTCTGCCTCTTTTTTTTCCCCTAGGACTTTTAGAGGTTCCATTAAGTTATTTGTATGAGATGTCTCTAACTTCTTTCTGGAAGCACTTTGTGCTATGAACTTTCCACTTAACACTGCTTTCATTGTGTCCCGTAAATTTGGCTAAGTTGTGTCTTCATTTTCATTGAATTTTAGGAAGTCTGTAATTTATTTTTTCATTTCTTCCCTGACCAAGCTGTTTTTGAGAAGAGAGTTGTTAAGTTTCCATGTGTATGTGGGCTTTTTGTTATTTCTGTTGTTGAGGTTTGGTTTTAGGCCATGATTGTCTTATAAGATACAAGAGATTATTTAGATCTTCTTGTATCCCTTAAGGCTTGCTTTGTCCCTGAATATAGTGTCAATTTTTGACAAGGTTTTGTGAGGTGCTGAAAAGAAGGTATTTGGTGGCAGGCAATTGGTGGGATCTAGAAATGATCATCCTGAGTAAAGTGTCCCAGAAGCAGAAACAAGAAGAAACAAACAAAGCTCTCAAAGAAATACAGACAAATATAGACAAATGAATAGAGACACAAATAGAGGCATATAGAGAGGAAAGGACCAAAGCTCTCAAAGAAATGCAGGCAACTACAGTCAAACAAATAGGGGAACAATTAGTGGCATATAGAGAGGAAACAAAAAAATAGATGCCATCATAGAAGGACAGGAATATACATTCAAACAGATGAAGTAAATGGTGCAGGACATGCAAACAGAATGAGAATCAATAAAGCACAAACAGAGAAAACCATGGAGCTGGAGAAGATAGAGAAAAGGTCAGGAACCACAAAGGTAAGCATCATCAATAGAATACAAGAGATGGAAAAAGAGAATCTCAGGTGCTGAAGATACAATGGCAGAATTGATACACCTCTCCAAAACAAACAAACAAAAAAAAGTAAAATCAGAAAAGTTCCAAGCACAAAACATCCAAGAAATCAAGGACACTATGAAAAGACGAAATCCAAAAAATATTAGGAATAGAAGAAAAAGCTGATTCCAGGCTCCAAAGTCCCGAAAATATTCTCAAAAAAATTATAGAAGAAATGTTCAAAGTCCTTAGTCATCAGAGACATGCAAATCAAAATGACCCTGAGAGTTCACCTTACACCCATCAGAATGGCTAAGATCAAAAATTCAAGTGAGAACACATGCTGGAGAGGTTGTGGATAAAGAGGAATCCTACTCTATTGTTGGTGGGTATGTAAACTTGTACAACCACTTTGGAAAGCAATCTGGCACTTTCTCAGACAACTAGGAATTGTGCTACCTCAAGATCCAGCTATATATCCAAAAGATGCTCAAGTATACAACAAGGACATTTGTTTATTTCTTTCTTTTACATATTTTTTTACTCTTGTTTTCCCTTTCAAATAGATTTATTGCACTTTCAGTAGTATTTTTTAAAGAAAAAATCAGGTATTACATTTTTATTTTTAAGTCTTCTTCATAACTATTTAACTGTGTTTCTAACTTTCTCATTATTGGGAAAATCTCTTCACTTTTGCTTTTCGTTTTCTTATATTTTAATTATTTTATTACATTTAATCATTTATCTTTCATGTGTATGTGAACACACAAATGTCACAGGGTCCATGTAAAGTTTAGATAAAAATCTGCAGACTTTGATTCTCTCCTACCACGTGGTTTTTAGGGATTAAACTTGAGTTTCCACACTTCAAAGAAAGTGGCTTTATCTTGTGAGCCATATCACCAGCCCTGAATTTTAAGTTTTATAATATCTGTCTCTTTTTCCATTTTCTCCATAACATTTTGTTACATTCCTCATTTTTTTCTATTATTTTCAACATTGCTTTCCCTTTAGTTTTCAGCTTCATTCATTTACATCTCTATATTCACCATAAATAATGTATTACTATTATTATTAGTAATCCAAAATTTTAATTAAAATTTTACATCAGGTTCCCCTTTTTTTCCTCTGGTCGCTCCCATGTCCCCTCCCTCCAGCCTTTTCTGACGCTAACTTACTTTCAAATTGATAGTGCCATTTTCTTTGATTATTAGTCTTGCAAACACACCACACACACACACACACACACACACACACACACACATACACACACACACACTTCTAAATTCATTTTTTTATTTGTTTGCATATAGTTTCAGCGCTGACCAGTTTGTATTGGATAATCAATTAGGGTGCTCATCCTTTTAAGAGATTAATTCTCCCTCTCTGAGACATCATTAGTTGCCTGCAGCTCTGTATCTAATATCTGGACTGCTCGAGACTTTTCCTTTTCTGCATTAGCATGTCTATATGCAGTCATTCCTAGGAGACAGCCTCACAGCACACTTTGTGAAATCATGGCTCTTACAATTTTTCTACACCCTCTTCAGCAATGTTTCCTGAGCCACAGACTCTGGAGAAGTGTGGTAGATGTATCTATTTCAGCTGGGATCCTCTCAATCTGTTGATCTCTGCATGGTATCCATGTAGTTTTCTGTAATGGTCTCAATTTCCAGTAAAGAAAGGCTTTTTTGATGAGTGTTGTAGCCACACTTACCTGAGGGAATGAAAATAAGACTCAGAATGTAATTATACTGTTATAGTATGGTGACAGTATTTGATTCTCTTCTGAGATCCATGATCTAACTTGTAATGTGTAGTTGGGTTGGTTTCTAGTACCAGGTATGATTTCCCTCCTCTTCAGTGGGACTTAAGTTCAATTACCTATTGGTTCTTACAAATATGGAGTGCCATATATTGTATCTTTACAGATATATAACCATGCTGGTCACTGTTGTGTTTCATAGGTGTCATAGTTGCATAGGATTATTAATAGCTTCCTTCTGTTGTAAGCTCTCATAGTGCTTTATGGTACTTTGAAAGGTATAAAACAGGAAGGAGGCTTTTGGATTAAATCCAGCTCAAATCATATAAGTCCTCTGTCCTAATTGCCTTTGGCAATAGGGGCTTATCTTCAAACGGTGAAAGGAAACCAAAGACAACAGCAATAAGCACTTTTTGGCTTGGAAGTCACCTGGACTACCCTGGTCAAGCACTCAAAAGAAGGTTTCATATCTCTGGTACTAGGGTTTTATTAATGTATAGTTCTTGTTGGGAGTACTATCAGTCCAAGTGTTATTGCTGTGCATGCAATAAGTTTGTTGGCTCCAGTTATCTTTGCAGTTATTACTGACTGAGCTGGGTAGGAAACAGTTGCTCCTAATGTGGCCAATCCTAGTGGATAAGCAATCTTCTGAAATCTAGAACCGCTTCTTGCTGAAACCAAATCTGCCAGTCCTAAAGCTGTAATTACTCCCACTTTGGGAAGAAAATCTTGAGGATTCTTCAAATAAACATATGCATCTTTTCCAAATTGTACTGTATCCATTATCCCATTCTTCATAAAGACATAAACACCCTTGCACCAGCCAACATAATGAACAGTTGTAGTCCTGATAGATTGCAAAGCCCATTTGTAAATAACCAGGCTGTTCAGCATATTTAGAATGGAAAGTTGCTACAGTATATATTGGGAGCTGTTCTGGTCTCACTAGCTTCTTTTTGAGTTCTTCTTTGGCCAGATGTACAGTTATTGAGGCATATATCAGACCTGCAGGCATGATTGTCAATTTTCCCATCCTAAAGGCCACCACACCTATGACCATCTGAACTCAATCTTTCGGATGGAGAGTGTCACTATTCCCTTTTCAAGCCCCATTCCATTAATACTTTCTACTGTTCTTACTCCATGTTATTACATACTCACATGTGAATATTTGGGGCAAGGCACCTCCAATAAGAGAGAACATTTGGTTTTTGTATTGCTGGGTCTGGGTTACCTCAATATGAATTTTTCTGGTTCCATCCATTTACCTGCAAAGAACTGTGTTTTCTTTCTTTTTCTTTTTCTTTCTTTTGGTTATTCAAGACAGGGTTTCTCTGTGTAGCCTTGGTTGTACTGGAACTTACTCTGTTGACCAGGCTGGCCTCAAACTCACTGAGATCCCTCTGCCTCTGTTTCCTTGAGTGCTGGGATTACAAGCATGTGCCACCATGCCCAGCTGGATTTTCTTTTCTTTACAGCTGGATTCCATTGTGAAGGTGTACTATGGTTTCATTATCCATTCTGCTGAAAAGCATTTACAATATTTCCATTTCTTAGTTATTGTCACTAAGAGCAGTAGTGAACATGGTTGAGCAAGTATCTGGGAAGTAGGATGTTCAGTCCTTTGGGTAAAGGAGTATTATAGCTGGGTCATATGCTAGATTTATTTTTAGCTTCTTCAAGTTATCCACACTGATTTTTGTTTCCATAGTAGCTGGACTAATTTGCAATGCCTTTCCCACAACCTCACTAGCATTTGTTGTCAGCTGCTTTGTTGATCTTAGCCTTTCTAATTGGGGTGAGATGAAATCTAGAAGTTGTTTTAATTTGAATTTCATAATTGCTAAGGACTATAAATATTTCTGAAGTATTAGATATTCTTATTTACTTTATTTAGATCTGTTTAAATCACTCACCCATTTTAATTGGGTCATTTGTTTCCTTGGCTTTTTGTTTTTGGAGTTCTTCGTATATTCTAGATAGTAAATTACTGTCAGATGGATAGCTAGCATGATGCTCACTCTATGGCTTTCACCTTTACTCAATTGTTTCCTTAGCTGTACACAAGCTTTTATATTTTCTAAGATCCCACTTGTCATTGTTGGCCTTGATTCCTGAAAAAATTGAGCCCTACTCAGAAAGCACATTCCTACACCTATGTCATGTAGGTACTGCCTATATTTTCTTCTATCAAGTTTAGTATCTCAGGTTTCAAATTGAGGTTTCTGATCCAACTGGAGCTAATTTTTGTGCAGGGTGAAAGATATGAGACTAATTCCATTCTTCTCCATTGGAAACATCCAGTTCTCCCAGCACCATTTATTCAAGATGCTTTTATCCAATGTATGTTTTTGGCCTCTGTCAAACATCAGATGGCTGAAGTTCCATGTATTTATGTTTGGGTTTTTAATTTTCTTCTTTTGGTCTACATGTCTGTTTTGTGTGTGTGTGTGTGTGTGTGTGTGTGTGTGTGTGTGTGTGTGTGTGTGTGAGAGAGAGAGAGAGAGAGAGAGAGAGAGAGAGAGAGAGTGCCAGTATCATATTGGTTTTATTACTACAGATCTATAATGAAATCTGGAATGGCAAAAATTCAAATATTATTTTTTTATTAATTTTTTTGTTTTTGGTTTTTGAAACAGGGTTTCTATATGTAGCCCTGTCTGTCCTGGAACTCTGTAGACTAGGCTGGCCTAAAACACAGAGATCCACCTGCCTCCACCCCTTTAGTGTTGGAACTGAAGTCGTGTGTCACCATGTACAGATCAATAATTATTCTTTATGGGCAAGACAGCTGAATAGCCATCTTCAGAACCTTTACTAGTTCCATATGAAATTTAGAATTTTTTTTCTCTTTTTGTGAGTAATATTTTGGGTATGAGGGGTTGCATTGAATCTGTAAATTGCTTTTGGTAGGATGTTTTCACAATATTAATTCTACCAATCAATGGGCTATCACTATATTTTCTGGAGTCTTTGTCAATCTCCTTCATAGATTTAAACTTTCCATTGTAAAAGTCTTTCATCGCCATAGTTAATGTTTATTCAAAGATACTTTGTTGTCTTTGATCCTATTGTAAATGGGAACATTTCCAGGACCTCTTTCTCACTGTGTTTGTTGTTGGTATATAAAAAGGTTAGTGGTTTTTAAAGTTGGTTTTTTATCTTTCCACTCTAATAAGATTGTTGTTTCTAGAAGTTTTCTGGTGTCTTTTTTTTAGGGGGGGAATCTTATATACATCATATCATCTGCAAATAGGGAAAATTTGACTTTTTCTTTTCCTATTTGTGTCCCTTTAAGTTTCTACTCTTGTCTTATTGCTACAGCTATTATTTAAAGCACCATATTGAAAAGGAACAGAAATAGTGGACCACCTCTTTCCTGACCCCAGTAAGACTGCTTCATGATTTTCTCCATTTAATATGATGTTGGCTATGGATTTCTTATATATTACCTTTATTATGTCAAGGTATCCTCTTTCCAGTCCCACTCTCCCTGCATTTCTGGGATGAACTAAACTTGATAATGATGGGTGATCTTGTTGATGCAAGCCTACATTTGGTTTGCTAGTGTTTTTAAAAATTTATTAGTGAATTTATTAATAGATTATAGTAATTAATTAAATAACCATACCACTTATCCCGATACAATCTTCAGTTTTCCTTTTCTTTCTTTCTTCTTCTTATTATTTTTTTTAATTATAATTTTCTTTTTAGTTACAATTTGTTAACTCTGTGTCCCAGCTGTATCCCGCTCCCTCATTCCCTCCCCCTCCCCAACTCCCTCCCTGGTCTCCTCCCTGCCCCTTTCCAAGTCCACTGATAGGGGAGGACCTCCTCCCCTTTCATTTGACCCTGTTTTATCAGGTACCTTCAGGGCTGGCTGCAAAGTCCTCCTCTGTGGCATAACAGGACTGCTCCTTCCCTGGGGGGGGGGAGGTCAAAGAGCCTGCCCTTGAGATCCTGTTAGAAATAGTCCTTGTTCCTCTTACTTTGGAAAACTACTTGGTTACTGAATTACCACGGGCCACATCCGAGCAGAAGTTCTAGGTTATATCCGTAGATGGTCCTTGGTTGAGTGTCAGTCTCAGAAAAGACCCTGTGCCCGGATATATTTGGTCCTTGTAGAGCTCCTATCCTTTCCATATCATACTAACTCCCCTTCTTTCATATGCTTCCCTGCACTCTGCCCAAGGTTTGGTTATGAGTCTTAGTGTCTGCTTTGAAACACTGCTAGGTAGAGTCTATCAGATGCCTTTTGTGGTAGACTCCTGTCATACGTTCAATGCACATCCAATTTGTCTTTCTAAATGAGGATTGATCATCTTCGCCTGTGTCCACTTTCTTGATTATCTTCTTTAGGTGTGTAGATTTCATTAAGTTTATCATATTTTGTAGGTCTATATAAGCGAGTATATACCATGTTTGTCTTTCTCCTTCTGGGATACTTCACTCAGAATGATCTTTTCTAGATCCCACCACTTGCCTGCAAATTTCATGTTTTCCTCCTTTTTGATTGCTGAATAGTATTCCATTGTGTAAAAATACCACAATTTCTGTATCCATTCCTCCGTTGATGGACATCTGGGTTGTTTCCAAGTTCTGGCTATTACAAATAAAGCTGCTACAAACATGGTTGAACAAATGTCCTTGTTGTGTACTTGAGCAAATTTTGGGTATATACCTAGGAGTGGTATAGAGGGATCTTGGGGTAGCACTATTCCTAGTTCTGAGAAAGTGCCAGATTGACTTCCAAAGTGGTTGTACCAGTTTATATTCCCACCAGCAATGGAGGAGGGTTCCCTTTCCTCCACAACCTCTCCAGCATGTGCTATAACTTGAATTTTTCATCTTGGCCATTCTGATGGGTGTAAGGTGAAATCTCAGGGTCGTTTTGATTTGCATTTCCCTAATGGCTAATGAGGTTGAGCATTTCTTTAAGTGTTTTTCTACCATTCGATGTTCCTCTTTGAGAATTCTCTGTTTAGCTCTGTTCCCTATTTTTTAATGGGATTACTTGGTTTGTTGCTTTTCTGCTTCTTTAGTTCTTTATATATACTGGATATTAGCCCTCTGTCAGATAAAGGGTTGGTGAAAATTCTTTCCCAATCTGTAGGCTGTCATTTTGTTTTGATGACTGTGTCTTTTGCTTTACAGAAGCTTTTCAGTTTCATGAGGTCCCATTTATTGATTGTTGCTCTAGGAGCCTGTGCTGTTGGTGTTCTGTTCAGGAAGTTGTCTCCTGTGCCAATGAGTTCTAGGCTGTTCTCCACTTTTTTTCCAACTGATTTAGAGTATCTGGTTTTATGTTGAGGTCCTTGATCCACCTTGACTTTAGTTTTGTGCAGGGTGATAAATATGGATCTATTTTCATTTTTCTGCATGTAGACATCCAGTTGGTCCAGCACAATTTGTTGAATATGCTGTCTTTTTTCCATTGAATGGATTTGGATTCTTTGTCAAATATTGAGTATTCTTAGGTGTGTGGGTTTATTTCTGGGTCTTCTATGTGATTCCATTGATCCTCCTTTCTGTTTCTATGCCAATACCATGCAGTTTTTATTACTGTTGCCCTGTAGTACAACTTGAGATCGGGGATGGAGATACCTCCAGATGATCTGTTGTTGTACAGGATCGTTTTGGTGATTCTGGGTTTTTTTTTTGTTTCTCCATATGAAGCTGAGACTCTTTTTTTCAAGGTCTGTAAAGAATTGAGTTGGTATTTTGATGGGAATTGCATTGAATCTGTAGATTGCTTTTGGCAGGATGGCCATTTTCACAATGTTAATCCTACCAATCCATGAGCACGGGAGATCTTTCCATCTTCTGAGATCTTCTTAGATATCTTTCTTCAGAGACTTGAAGTTTTTCTCAAACAAGTCTTTCACTTGCTTGGTTAGAGTCACACCAAGGTACTTTATGTTATTAGTGGCTATTGTGAAGGGTGTTGTTTCCCTAATTTCTTTCTCGGCCCTTTTGTCTTTGGTATACAGGAGGGCTTCTGATTTTTTTTGAGTTGATTTTGTATCCTGCCACTTTGCTGAA